AAAAAGAAAAAAGAAAAAAAAAGAAAAAGAACTGTGCAAACAAGCTTAAAACTATTTCTTTGTGCCAGTGTTATAAAATGTAGATTTCAATAAAGCCTTGACCCAAATGCCAGGACTTGTGAAAAGAATCAGAACAAAACTGGTTACTTTATTTAGGAAAAAAAATACTCTTACCTTGCTGCTAATAAAATTGGATACACGCAGTTTAAACATTTACAGTTGCTGTAACACTTTACACAATTCCTATATATAGGTGTAAGAACAAACATTAAAAGACAATGGTGGGTCAAGGCTTTACATTAAAAATAACAACCTACTTTTTCTATAGTCTCTAAAATACTATGTTTTTTCCAATATTTGCAGCCATTCAGGAATATTTTTTTATTTATTTATTAGGAAATGTATACTTTGTGCACGATCTTAATTCCTAATTCCTGGCTCTTTGGGCTGAATGACAAAAGGATCAAACCCATTAAAGTGGATGGTCTCCTTGAAGGTTCAGTGGAGAAACCCTGGCTCAGTTAGTCTCATATGATGAAAGCAGTGCTGCATCCACTGGCTCCATGCAGGATGGACAGGTAAAGGATCTCATCAACCAGTCATCTATACAGTCCAGGTGGTAAATGTGCATGCACGGCAGAAATCGGATAGGGTCCCCATAAACAAAGTCCATCATACAAATGACACATCTGGGGGGGAAAAAAAAATAAATCATAAAAATACTTAAGCTGCTGTTACCACACTGGAAATGAAAAGTAGCGTAATATCTACTCCTGGATATGTTTGAGTCAAACAAGCTTTCAGGACTTGTAGATACTGTGAGGAGCTTTTTAGCTCTGCCAGTGCTGGCTCCACCAAGCACTGGATTTTTTTGGTGTTTCGTTTGTAGTATGTGCCCATGGTTCCAATGTGAGCGAGGGCAGGAAGTCTTTCTGTAGGCATGGTGGGGGCAGCTCAGCAACGTGTACAAAATTAGAAATGGTAAAAGGGAGCCATGAAGGTGAGGAAGTAACATGAAATTATTCCCCTGTGAAGAGAGGACAAAGAGGAAGAACAAAAACCCCAGCTTATAAGGGCATGAATTACATGGGTCAGGATAGTAAGTTTCACCTGTAACAGGAAAACAAGCGAGGATAAACGAGCAAGCCTTCTGCATGCTCATTTTTTCAGAAAGCTACATTAAAGTACAGTCCCTGAAAACAAGGCAAAACCAGGAGGCCAAGATCAGGTTTCCCAGGGCAATACCATAAACCAATGCCACAGCCACGTTAGTTGAGTTAGGTTTCTGTAACTTACTCTCTGATCTTCTTCTCGGAGCCGTCTCTTCCAGGATCATAGACTCCTTTAGGTAGATGCTGAATAAGGCCTATCCTCTGCGCTATTCTGATTTGTTCCTCTTCTGTCAGCTGTGTTGCTAGCCGCGTCTGGCTAGGAGTCGGGTGATAAACAGGAACAGGAACCTGCTCCTAAAATTAAAAAATTTCCATTAAAAAAACCCACAGGCTTTCCTCGTATTTCTTAGCACAGTACAGGCAATGTATTTTTTTTTTCCCTCTTACTCCTACAAACGTTTGCACGATCTCTCATTCCTACTTTGCAATTTTGCGGCTTATACTTATATTGAGAATGGGATAAAGAACTGAGCCCAGTATCTTGAGCAAGGAGCTGCTCGTGGTTGTTCTCTGCAAAAGCTTTTTATCTCCAGGAAAAGTTCATACATGAAATACACGTACAACAGACTCTACATGACAGCAGGCAGAGAAACCTTCCAGGCATCTGGTGAACTGCAAGGATACTGAATTGAACAATGTAAGGGCTGAGTAATAGTCCCCAGTATTTGCAACAAAAATAGGGTTTTTTACATTTAGGAAGAATTATTTGCAAAGATGAGGACAGTGGCTATTGAGAGTTTTAGAGAGAAAGGTTTTATTGGTTTGGTAATAACTAAAATTTACATGAACTGTTCTAGGCCACACAAGCTCCAATCCAGAACTGTAGGTTTAATTCTTGTAGGTTTAAAAAAATGTCACCTGGACAATAAAAAGAATAGTTAAGTAATCCATCCAAGTTTTACATATGTTCTCACGCATTAATATGATTTTACAAATTTTCCCAAGCTGGACTTCAACTGCTGTTGTGTTTAAAGTACCTATTTCCCACACAAAAAATAGGCAACATGTAGGTATTACACAGTCCATCCTCTGCCACGTTCTCAGAAGCTTCTTTTGAATATGAATGATTTTCACTAACATTTACATTAACACATTTTACTTGCTTTTAAAGCACTTTTTTGGCTGTAAATACTGATTTTGAACAGGAGATACTATTAGGACAGCAACGGCCGGTAGCCATAAATCTGCTCTTAATAGGGGGATGATTTCTTGCAATGGGCCTGTTTTAACTGTACTTCTTAAACAGCAGAAAAAAAATCAACTTACAGATGTGTTCTGACAATAAACCTGGCGCATCAGAGACACAATAGCATCGATTCTCATGTGGAAAATGCAAATGCTGCTGTTTCAGAGGACATTGCTGCAAAAGGGGTGCGTGCAGCTGCGGCGCAGGCAGCGCCGGTGCAGCACCCATCACCCCGACCAGGCGCCCACCACCAAACTCCTGCTCGCTCCTCACTGGCACGGAGCCCACACCGGCTTTCACCGTCTGTGACGGAGCAACCACCTTCATAGAATCATAGAATGGTTAGGGTTGGAAGGGACCTTAAAGATCATCTAGTTCCAACCTCCCTGCCATGGGCAGGGAAATCCTCCACTACACCAGGTTGCCAAAACCTTCTGAAACGTTCATGTCCTTACAGAGCAGGGACTTCTGTGGGTATCTCCAGGTACTTCCAGCAGCAGGAACACAGCTGCCTTCCCTCTCCCATTCCCTCTTTGCCTTTTGCCCCGCTACAGCAACGGTCTAGTGCAGCGTTCAGCTGACACCAACACCCGGCAAAGTCCTGGTACGGGGTTTAACGCACGTAATACTGCGCTTGTCGAACTCAATAAATCGATTCCTCTTTCGCTGCTAGGAAGTACGGCAAGTGGAAAGACAGACAGAACTCCTGGAAGGCTGGGAGAAAGCAGCCCGAGGAGCGCGCAGCCTCTCGCCAGCTGGTGCTGGGGGTGCCCAGCAGCAGAAGTCCTTGTTTACGAGAAATGTTGATCAAAAATACAAGTCTGCCTGGCAGTTCTTCTTTTAACACAGTGTCTACCACCTGCAATTCAGCTGTGGGGTAAAATTCAGAGTCTTCTCTTAATTTTGCCACCTTAGGATTTACCCCTCTGATTTCCTAGTAGAACTCAAGAGGAGTTACAAGAATGTTCAAAAGACAAAATGCCAGTGGTTCTAAGTATGATTGATTTCCTGACTACTCTAAACTGTATCTCACAGAATCACAGATTTCTTTTAGATCAGCTGCCTTTTAATGGTTTAAATCATCTAAAGTATTCTCTAATCATTGTTTGGATAGGGAAAAGCACCAGCTGAAGCTAGGGATGACCTGTCAGAGACAGCAGTATTTGTCGAGCGGCTCTGTAACTTTTCATGCCAGTAAAATAAAGCATTTTTTCCCCTTCCAAATGTGGCAGACCCTCTGCACTGATCACAGCACCTCAAGGCAGAGCCCGGTCCTGGTTTGATGTTTCAAGAACTGAACACCACAAACTATCAGTAACTTTTTTTTCTTCCAAGGCTTTGCTATACCTCTTTGGACAGATTATTAAATCGCTAGCAGAAGACATTACTGCTAGCTCCTTGACTTGTTAGAAAGCCGTACAGAACACTTTGCATTTGGAGGGAGAGGCACCCTCCTTTCTGCCTTAGAGAGAAAGAGCAGCAGCATAACTAACCGCACGCACAGCGCAGGTTGGTGCTAATAAGGGCAGAAGGAGAGAGAGGAGGCTACTGTATTCAGTACAGCCCTCCTTGGCAAAACCATGGCTGCAAGTCATAATGCAGAAATAAGAGGAAAGGCAAAAACAGGAGGAGAAACAGAGATCCAATAAACTCTCAAAATACCTGAAAGTAGCAGTGACAACTGATAGGAAATGCCTGTAGCAGAAGATGATCTTATCATCTCAGCACAAGTTATACAGCAAAAGGAAACTACAGTTAAGTAATCTGTTGTGAGTTAAAACTATCACATTTGGACAAGAGAAATAGGTCACGCTATCCAACCGACGGCTGCTTCGGTTAAGTTGTGGACAGTAAATTAACTTTTAAGCCTGTAGCAGGCCAAACAAGAATGAAACCTCATTCCCTTGTTCTCATCTCCTACAGGTGCTCGCTGTGAGCAACCACTGAGGGATGATGTACTTGGGGAACCCATTTCTGCATTTTTGCAGCGCACCCCTCCCGTGAGCATCGTCTTCCCTGCAGAGACCTGGAGAACCGGGACCCCTCTTCCCACTCCAAACACACAAAGGCCTTCCTGACCACCAGCGCTGTATGGCAACAATCCTCCGTTTGGTGTCCCGTCTCAGGTTCCCTCCCCACAGAGCCACCACCCTGCGCTACGTGTCTGACATAACCAATTAAGGCCGGAATTTATAGTTGCCAGCTGTGAGCATCTACAACTTCACATACTAGACAAAAATCTCTTGTCAGACAAGCAACTCTGAGTGAAAACGGTGCTGCCTTTCACCATGACATCTTCATACTTGTGAATGTGAAAAATTGGGGTTGGTACGGCTGCCAAGCTGTAGTGAAAAATGCATAAATTGTGCTACCGTAAATAAAAACGAGTGACCACTCAGTACCCGTGATTCGGTGCGCTTCCTCGACACACTGTCTGGTGGCACTTCAGTCTCGCCTCCCAATTACTATTAAAAGCCTGCCCAAACGAGCTAGCAGTCCACTGGATACAAACATAGCAGCAGAATGGAAGAACACAGCTGCACATGTTGTGGAGAGTCAAATTATTGGGTACACCAACAATAGCCTTTTCAAACCAACCCTCTCTTCTCAACAGATAAAAAGAAAAGGCACGTTCATACTTGTACGATTCGCAAAATATTTTAAACTATTTATTCATGAGAATATGAGAGCTCAGATTTCTTACTCAGCTCATTGATGTGATATCCAGTTTCCCCAGACAGGTCAAAGCAAGAGATGGAGCAGACTGCATGAACGCTCCCTCTGCTAGACCCTGACCACCACCCATCAGTCAAGCTGGGCTCCTCCAGCCCCCAGCAGCCCCGCCAGCACGCACACAGGCTGGCCCCGCACACCGCCGCATGGGCAGCTGCATCCTCTGGTTTCTCCACTACCAAATCTCTGTAGTGTTTTTTTTGGAAGTTAAGCTCATCTGACAATAACTTCAAGCCGCCTGTAAGGACGGAGTGCAGCCCTGCCTGCGCGGGTTTATCACCCCTCTGTAAATCTTTCACAGTTTATACTGGCTACTTTATCAACCCATGTTAAGGCAAGGTCCCGCTCACTCCAGCGTGGATATTCAAGGGTAAAAACGTGAGGATTTGAGACTTGAGTCTACATTTGTGGCTAGAGGCCCCTGACATGTATTTATATAAAAAAGATCGTATTACCCAAGTAATTATTATTTTTCTCTAAAGATGAGCAGGAATTTATTGCTCATGTCTCACTTTTCCCTTATCTACCATGGAAAATGTTTTTGCAGACAAAATTACGAAATACTGAACTTCTCACCAAAGTCCGTGTTATTTATCATTGGATAAAGATGTCAGGCATTTCAAACTAAGATAAAATTTCATGTTGACTCTATTCCTCCGTGAAAAAAAACTAAAAAAGGCCAAAACAAATAATCAAAACAATACATTAGTGTCAGGCAATGGAATAAAAATTACTTTCTGACACTTCATTTGTTTTAATCAATTGGGTTTTTTTCCCCATACGAATTTAGTAATGATGAAACATCTCAGGTGGCCACAGTCCTGGAGATACACAACTTTTTTCTTGTTCACAAAGCGGGTGGCGTCAGCACAAGCTTTCCTGGCTTTATGTGCACAGAAATTATTTAAGGGCTGAATAAACACTAGGAAGGAATAACAGCATTAATTTAGACTCGAGGACTAGAGCAGGGTTTGTGTCTCCATCTCACCCTGACTGCTACTCTTCTGGGGGGCTAAGGAGGGGAAATCACAGAAGGCATCTGGAGGTCTGCATTTTTCACTTCTAAGGAAAATAAACATTTTCACGTAAGGCTTAAAAGGCCCAGACGCTGTTTCTGCATGCAGATTCCCAAGCACATTTTGGGTTCTCGCCTAGAAAAAGAAGGTTTCTCATCAATACAACTTACCTTGGTTACTTATGCTGCTGTAAATCTGCTTTTCTCTTGTTTTACAGCATTTTCATCTTGCTTTTGCAAGTGCAATGAATTTGTAATACTCTGAAAACAGGTCAGTGGTAGATCAGAAACTCTTAATCCCTGGATAAAGATTATTTTAAGATCCCTCTATGCCACATATCAGCAGTATGTTTTCAGGGCTTTTGTTTGTTTGTTGTTTTTAATAATTGCACCAACATGCACAAATTATCCTTTCAGGAAGGTCAAAGGTGAGATGAATAATTCATAACATCTAATAGTTCCAGAGGTTAAAGCTTCACTGCTATCCCTGAGATCCTTTCTACAGCCACTTGCTTTTCACTACTGGGTGCTTTGCTCCGTTTCCATCTCCCAATTTTCTTCCTCATCTAATCCAGTGCTCTCAGTGCATGCCACCCTGGGATATTTATTTGCATTTTAACACCAGATCAACAGTCTATCTGTTAATTCAGTCCAACAAAGGAGACAAACGTCTTCCTAGCTACATTTATTTTAAGTCCTTCTTAGATTTTTTTGAAACACCAGTAGGTATAGTGCTTATGCTCCTTCCAGTTGCTGCCTAATTAATTAACGCAAGTATAACAGCTCAATTTGAATTTCCCCAGCCATTCCCACAGCTCTTTTTTGAAATTCCTTCGATATGCAAATGTCTGCCTTGAAACATGGCTCAAAGCAGCTGCGTTTGTTCACATACAGCTGCATCAGGGCCACGTACGCTTTACTGCTCACCAGCCCTCAAACGCTGATCTGGAAAGCGGCCTGGCCCTTCTGCAGCTCTGGCAGCCTCGCTGCCTATTACAACCTTCCCTGTCACCATACAAATCTTTCAGCCTTGCTGCTTCCCAGTTTTCTCACCTCTAAGGTGAGATGCTTAGCAGGAAGCCTAACTAACTAATCTAGACAAGAACAACTTCATTTTATAGATGTAAAGTCAGGAGGTGTGAAGAAAAAAAATCTTGCTTTTCGGTTTGTTTTTGTTTTATTTTTTGCAAAAATCTCCGCTGAGTTTTATGGAATTTTCTCTTCTCGCTACTTTATTATTCATAAGAAACTCACTGGAATGATGGTCCAGGGACCTCTTCTGCGAATGCCATTCTGATCTAGGAGAAAAGACTCAAACTCCATCCAGCCATGAATACACATTCTGAAATAATATCCTCCCCCAAGACATATTACTGCAAAAGCACTCACCATTATACTGTGCATTATATGACAACTACAGCTTACTTTAATAATCCTTAGAATATTACAAGCAGCCTGCCAACTATAAAAACCTTTTTCGGCCATACAGAAGAGAACAGTTCATTTATAAAGCTGAATACCAGTTGCTATAAAATACCATGTAATGAAATCGTTACCCAATCTTTTATATTTATTACAT